ATTTTTAGAAGTAAGTTCATTAATGATCTTCCAGGTTTTATTAGGATTGTCTTTATTATCATTGAAAGAATTTTTGAAATAGGCTTGCTTTGCGTAGAAGATTTCAGAATTAACAAAATTACGCATTTTCTTAAAAGAAAGCCAATCTTGAGTATCGTTGGAACGAATTGCTTTAATTTTTAGGACATCTCGCCTATGCATTTTATCTTTCAAAAGAGATGTGATCCAAGGCGATTTAATAGCCTTAACGCGCTTAGCTCGAATTGGGGCGTGCTTATCTGCGACAGAATTGAATGTGGCTTTCCAAGCATGCCACATGTCATTAGGGTTTTCGTACTGATTGATATAGTTCCAACTCTGTTGACTAATATCATTACGAAATTTAGTAGAATCAAAGTTTTTAAACTTTCTGTAGTTTATTGAAGAATGTACCCCCGTCGATGAACCCACAGAAAGTTTGCGAAAGGCGTAAATAAGACTATGATCGCTTATACTCACATGAGAAACACCAGAGCAAACAACCTTGTCAGGAGTATTTGTGAAAATATGATCTAACAATGTTGAGTAGGAGTCTGTGATTCGAGTAGGTTCATTTATAAGCTGAGAAAGATTATATAAATCGGCAATATCCATGAGTGACTTCGAATCATGATCTAAGACTGTAGAGCTCAAATCACAGTTGAAGTCGCCCATGAGGTAATACTCGATATTTTCGGAATCGAGCATACCTAGAAGAGTTTCAAAATAATTAAACATTGCTACAGGCGAATTAGGAGGCCTGTACCAAGTGGTAATAAGAAAAGGCTTGGCTCTAGGTTTATTAACTGAAATACACAGGTTTTCCAATTGCTCAAAAGATAGATCATGCCGAACTGAAAAATTTATACAGCTACGAATATAAAAACAAACCCCACCGCCAAATCTACCATTGGAATCTCTATCTCGCCTAACAATTTCGTATGCAAACTTTGCAAGGCTATATTTTCCAAGCTTTACAACATTTCGCAGCCAAATTTTGCAAGTTTACTAATTTTAATAAGTTCTTAACGGGAATTTACTTTTTTTTGCCTAGATCGGTTAGATAAAAAAATTGTCTAACATGCAAGTTGTCTATTACCGTCGGAAAACACGTAATCAGTACAAGGCAGGCTGTCCGGAAAGGGAGGAATAAAGGTCAACAGTTTATAAACAAAACTTTTTCTATAATTTTTTTTCCCTATATAATAAAATGGACAATGAATACACACAGGAAAGTTCATTTGTACTTCGCATTCTCTGAAGAAATGACGGAGTTCATAACGGAAATGTGTGAAGACTGACACATCATTTAACGACGCTGGTTTTACTTATCTGGACGAAGGAACCGGTTGGGAAGCTGACACCAGGTTCTGGCCCGTAGGAGAAGCGGGTGCTATAATTCTGGGTGTGAACGCGATCCCTTTCGGTCCGCCAATAGGTGTCGTCGTTTTTCTCACCATACTGGAGGAAGTAGCACTTGGAGAGATAAACATACATACATACACATACACACATATATACACTTTATTTCAACACGGAAGAATCATCAGTACCAGAATAAAATACACAAATTTAAATATATACAATGTTAGTCAAAAGATAAAAATAATAATTACTGTTTTACATGATTGCCATGCAAGAGTCCATATACTCAGTATACTATAGGAAATTAGTCAATTCGACTTTGAATAAATTGAGAGAAGGGGCTGACCTGAGCTGTTCTGACAAGCTGTTCCACAGGGAAGCACCACTGTAGCTGAAAGAACGTTTTAAATAGTCTGTTCGAGGTTTTGGAACAGACAATTTGTTTAGAGAATTTCTCAGATCATGATTGCTCACTTTGGGTGTAAATAACTGCTGCAAGTATTGAGGAGCACAATTATTATTAACTTTGTACATTAGGATAGCTTTTTGCTTCATGCTATTTTTTGCCAAAACACTCCATCCCAACTCAGAAAATAGGGATGCTGACGAAACCTCATACGAGGACCTGGTCATTACCCGAGCCGCACGATTTTGCAGCTTTTGTAGTTTCTCACCCAGTTTTAAACCAATACCATCCCACACTGGAGAGCAATAAGTAAAATAGGGCTCGACCGGGTCCCTGTAGCCTTCACAGCCGTTTCTCTATTGATGAAAGGTCTTACGCGCTTAAGAGCACTAATACCAGACGAAATTTTTTTGGTAATATTATTGATATGGTTTTTCCAAGTTAAGTGCTCGTCGATTGTTAGACCTAATGACTTTGTAGATTGAACTTTTTTGATCTTTTTGTTGTCTACAAAGACATTTAAATCGTTGGTTTCACTGAAGGTTGCAAGTCTCTGACGGGAGCCAATGACCATGAGTTCAGTTTTTGCAATATTAAGACTTAATTTATTGGATTGTAGCCAGGTATTTAGCTTATCAATTCAAAACAACTTCACGCTGGACTGTCCGGAGTTCGGTATTAATTTGGGACGACCCGACGATTTCGCAGAGTCGTGAATGTTTTTCATACTGTTCTTACGAGCCCGTTCCTATGGTATGGGAAATCTGTTTAGGATGCGGTGTAAAGACCGATCGGTTATGCCTGTTGAGTACGAAAACAGCTTACCCGTCAGCTGTATTGATGCTCTTTAAATTTTAATACTCTTACAAACATTAAAATTGGTTTCTGCTGTCTTAGGATTCTGTATTCTATTAATCCCGTCGTTGTACAAGCCTTTTCCTCGAAACTTTATAGGCTTTTCCTCCAATATATTTGCCTCATGCAGCTTCACCTGAATGGAGGTTACGCTGCTGGATACGTAGATGCTCTCGATTCTGACAATCACATCAAGGTGAAACCTCTTGTCCTGATACTTCTTGTGATCTACGGGTTCTTCCTCCTTCGGAGGGTACATTTCCGTTTCATCGTCGATCTTTACATATAGTGTTGGAGTGCTGCCTTTCCGGTAAAGACATTTCATAATGTTTTCACCCGGCTTACCAACGTGATCGGTGGACTCCTTTTCCACCAGTTTCAGGGCTGACACAAACTCCTCTTTATCCCTCAGGGCTAGGGAGATGGAATAATTGACCTTACCGAACTTGTAGTTCTTGTTCACTCCATAGGACAAGCAGTCCTCAAGTTCTAGTAGAAGTGGACCCTGGTCCTGTGCCGTTAATTTAATCTTTTTGGACCCGTAACTGTTTCCGACGGCATCTTCGAAAGCGAACGAGTCTTTGGAGAAGTTTGAAACTTATATAGAAAAATTTTTTTCAAACCCAAAGGGTTTAAAAATAGGAATGGCTATCGGTTCCGAGACCTATGTACGGACTTGGGACTTGCGGACGGACTTGGGAACTGAAAAAATAGGATCCTTTTTATTATACATAAAAAATTTTTTTTTTCCGAAATGCTGATTCAGCTTTTTTCAAACCCAAAAAGTTTGAAAGCAACAATGACAACTTGTTCCAGGACTTGCGGACGGACTTAGGAACAGGGGAATAAGGTCCGCTTTATTATATAGAAAAAAAATTTCAAAACTGCTGACTCAGCATTTTTCAACCGGAAGTGACGTCATAGGTCACGTGATTCAAAATCTGCGCAGAAGGAGTGCGCAGTGGGAGACTTTGGGGAGACTTCGGTAAGACTTCGGTAAGACTTTGGGGAGGCTTCTGGAAGCATTCTCAAGGCGGGGGTAGCGGAGTCTGGTGGGAGTGACGTCATCGGTACTTGATTCAAATCTACGCAGTAGCAGGCTCTGGGGAGACTTCGGTAAGACTTTAACAGTACTTCGGTAAGACTTCGGTAAAACTTCTCAAGGCGTGGGGTGGCGGGGTTTGCGCGTGCGTGGTGACGTCATAGGTCACGTGATCTTATAAACCGGAAGTGACGTCATCAGATGCGTGGAAGGTGGTGCGTAAATCCACTATAATTTGTATAACATGAAGTTTTTCCAAACTGGCCCAGAACCCGCCATTTCCTACTACTCTAATTGCTCTTGAAGATTTTTATAGCAAATCAAGCAATAAAAATGTATGATCATATGACATATGCTTTATTGTCATAATATTATGTTCTCTCTGGGCACACTTGTAAAAGGCACTTTCATTTCACACGTTTCTGCTCTGACTCACATTATTTATAATCTTAGATTATGTTTATACTAAATAATTGTTATCTGGAAACGGTATAAACTTTGCATTGCTTTACTTGTTAATTTCAACAAAGGTCTCGAGAGCGAGTGCATGTTTATAGACCTTTATAGGTCGTAGCGCCTTTGAGGTTTTTCAGCAAGCCAAATTAAAGGAAAAGGGCATTTGGACACAAGCCAAATACTCAAGAGTCTCAAATGGACATTGAATGTCTGATTTTATTTAGAAATATTGATAATTTGTTTTAATTAAACATGTACTGGGTATTGTAGGAAGGTGTGAGTGTAAGGTACAAAAATTGTTAGAGAATCTACAGTACAGAATTAAAAGACAACGGTATGCTTATCCTTTTTTGTCTGCATGAGTATGTTGTTGAACATTTGAAAGCAAAATATTATTTACCCCACCTTTTATACTTTGCCATGTGAATAATAACAGCTAAGGTTCAGCAAAGTATTTTTTTATTATACGTGCACAGCATAACGTTTCTCTACATTTTGTCATGGATATATATACATGACATAATTCATAAATTCTGTATACGCACAAAGTCTCGCACAGACATGACATTACTTTTATAATTTATGAGCTTTTATAAGCATTTTAAAGTTCTAATTAATATATTGTCTCCAGTGCGGCATAGTTGGATAATGTAAAGGCGATTGATGTCTCACAACCGCGTGTGCTATTCCATCAATCAATCAATCAATCAATCAACTTTATTTAACGAGGGTAAACACTGAACAGTATATCAACTGACTAACAAGTGGCCCTCTTATACTATAACTACATTACATACAATTAAAAATACTATATAACATGTAATCATGATAATACTATAAGTTCATAAGTTTAAAAAGTCAAGATATTGTGAAAGAATCAATATCATTATACCTATGAAAAAAATAGTTAAAAAGTTCATTCTTAAAAGTTTCTACAGATTTTTCGGAAGTTTTTATATGAGGAGGTATAGAGTTCCAAAGTTTACACGTGGAGACCTGGAAAGACTTTCCCCCTTCCATGACTCGGCTATAGCGTGGACATACCAAGTTTCTTTGACTGTAACGGCCTGACGAACGGGTTTGTATGTCTGCATTTGAGGTTAGAATATCATTAATATATGATGGGCAATTTCCATGAAACCGTTTGTAAGCTAAGACACATTTGTTCAACCTCACTTCGTCGTGAAAAGCAAGCCAATTTAGCTGCTTAAACAATGATACGCTGTTTGTTCTTGTACCGACATCCAAAATGATGCGGGCAGCACGTTTTTGCAGTCGAAGAATTGTTTTCAAGTTTTCCACGGAGCAGTTAGCCCAAACTGTAGCACCATACATCATGACTTGCTTAAACATGGTGTTGTAGTACAGTTTACGTTGGTCTAAAGGAAGAAACCGTTTAATTTTCCGAAGAACGCCCAGTCGTTGTCCCAATTTCTTAGAAAGTTCTTCCACGTGTTTATCAAAAGTCAGTTCTTGATCGATAGTGACTCCTAAAAGTTTCTGGAAATGAACTTGTTCAATATCCTCGTTTTCAGACTGTAACGACAATATCTTTGTCGGCAACTTTTTGGCCAATCTCTTTCCGGTAACAAGCATAGATTTTGTCTTTTTGGCATTTATGATCATTTTGTTTGTTTTTGACCACCTTACAATGCCGTCCAAATCAAGCTGTAGTGCTGTTTCTATGGCTGTAGGTGCCAAATCCACTTCTGCGGAGTGACTAAGGGTAGTATCATCCGCATATATGTCGACCTCGGAGTGGAATACCTCTGACGGAAGATCGTTGATAAACAAAAGGAAGAAGATTGGACCCAAAATACTTCCTTGTGGCACACCGCATTTCACCTCTATTTTCGGAGAATGGGAACCATCAATATTTACATACTGCCAACGGTTTCTAAGATAGTCTTTTAAGAGGTTTAGCTCATCCCCCTGAATGCCATAATTATGTAACTTGTTAAGGAGCAGTTGATGGTCTATCAGATCGAAGGCTTTCTTATAGTCTACAAAAATTAGTCCAGTTACCTTGTTTTTATCCAGATCAAGTAGCAATTGGTCAATGAGTCTGATGAGTGCAGTTTCAGTCGAATGGTGTTTACGAAACCCGGATTGAAGTCGATAAAATAAGTTTCGTTGTTGCAGAAACCCATACATATGTTCACATATGTGCCTTTCCAGTAGCTTAGATAAAATGGGAAGCACTGATATAGGCCTGTAGTTAGACTTTTCATCTCGGTTTCCCTTCCCTTTATATATTGGGGTGACCTTAGCAACCTTCCATTTTGAGGGGAACGTTTGAGTGTTTATGCAACGATTCATCAGCTGGCTTAATGGTTCGGCTATAGCTGGTGCTGCTATTTTCATTATTTTGGCGCTAATGCCATCGTCTCCTGTGGATTTATGAACGGGGATGGATAGAAGTAACTTAATCACTCTTAATTTTGACATGGGGGGAATGCTGAATGTAGTATCGACATGGGGAATAGGATCTAGATTTGGTGTTTGTTCTATTTCTACGGGCGCTGAGGTGGACGCGAGGTTGTTTTGCGGGTCGACAAAGAAGCGATTAAATGTTTCAGCAATGGTCACTTTATCTTTTAAAGTCGTACTATTTTCGGTCAAAAATTTGACACTTTCATTTTTTCCAGCATCATCATTTGTTAGATTTTTAATCAAGTTCCAAAGTTTACTGGGGTTTTGTTTATTTTCTTGAAATTTATCACTAAAGTAATTTTTCTTCGCATTTCTTATTGTTTTTGTCACTTTGTTCTTTGCAATGCGGTAGTTTGCCCAATCTTCGTCAGTTTGATATTTCCTTGCTTTGTAATACAGTTTATCGCGTGCCTTTATGTCCTCCCCAATTATATTATTGAACCATTTAGGCTGTGTATTTCGCTTTACCCGCTTTTGTTTTAAGGGAAGATATTCATTTACGACATCATTAAATATTTCATACCATGCATAGACAGTGTCATTTGCGTCATCAAATACAAAAGCACTATCCCACGGTGCATTTTTAAGGGCGGTAATGAATTTGTCCTTGTTTAAATGCTTTACGTCGCGATAGTTTATTGTGGAATGCTTACCCTTGTTGTGACACGCACGTTTGTATATCCTGGTTGTCATAATAGGCAAATGATCTGATATTCCAATATTTAAAACTTTGACATTGTTTAGCTAGATCAAACCACAAAGCTATTGGCAATGAAAGCTTTCTATAATATTTATAATGTGCCCGGTGTATAAAATATGAAATAAATATGAAATAATTGTATTTTCGCATATTATACAATACTATATTTTGTCTTTTGTATTCAATTTAAATATTCAAATTGTTCCCCACTCAACAGTGCTTTTGCCTGCATCGGATGACTTTACCATTCGTTTGATAACAGAGAGCTATACCTCGACATTATTCTTGATAATACAGTCTCAGTGATGCCAAAACGGTCGGTGTTTCGTCTTCCAAAGTAAAGTCGATACTTAATTCGACGACTCGAAGTCCCAGCTGCAGGAACTTTGCGACCAGCTTCGCAACAGATGGCTAGAGTAGAGTTCCGCGCAACGTTTCGCACGGACATTTTTGCTCAAGCATCCTAAATTGTATGGCATTGTTAAGCCTTCTTTCACATGGCGCACATATCTGATGAGGAAAGCCGCTTTCGTGCTGCAATTCACCAACAAAAATTATCTTTGCGTTGCGAAGGATTGTTTCGAACTGCTGATTCTTGCTGTGTTTTAGGTCAGCAACAGAATTACAAAGCCCAAATATGGCTATAACGCGAAATATTGGCCGTAGATTTTTTTTTGAAGAATTTCTTTGGCGTCTGAGTCCTTATTATATAAAAGCCATCGCCCATCGACTCGATTGAATATAATTTCAAAATTTTAGTTTAATTTCATGCTCAAAACTGTAATTCAGTACCTTTAATATCATATTTATCTGTTCCAAAACAGAATGTAATCAATTTCAATGTTTTTTTGTTGTTTTTAATTGATTTAATTCACCTTTTAATAGTTGCAAGTCGCAACCAAAATCACAATATTGTTACTTGTTAGGAAACATTTCACTAAATTTGATTGCGCTCCTCTGTCACCCCTCCCTCAGTACTTTTTTAATTCCCCCCCCCCCACATTCTGTGGCTTTTCAAGAGTCACGTGACCAGCGGTAACCAGGGTTTTTCCTCGTCTCAAGCGTGATAAAAATCCTGACTTGCGAGATTGTATACAACTTAGTTAAAAGTAAGACAAGCAGAGTAAGAATGTGGAGTGGTTCGACTACAACAAGCAAGAAGACCACTGTTATGAAAAAGAAACAGCACCTGGAAATATTTTATTTATTATTTGCATAACAATAAAGTGAAACCAGTGCTTTTGTCTCCAATGCATTTAGTATACGAATACTATAATCAAAGTTGCACTAAGCTTACCACAAAAGAACAGCTTGTTTTTACCCTTGTGCGACTTAGAAGAAGACCAACATTATTAAGGTTACAGAACACCTTTGAGTGTTAATTTTGCCTAGAATTTTTTTATTGGTTTCCATGAAAGCATTAGACTAGTTCTAGTATCTGACCAAGTTTCAACGAAAAATGTTGAAAACTCACACAGAGTTATTTAATAAAATACATTTCGCTACAATAAGAAAAACATTGAAAATGTAATATTCAAATTCAACTTTCTCCCGAAGAATCTTACGGTAATTACTGATTTTTAAACGAGTTGTGCTCCTGCAGGTTTTAACCAATTTTTCTCAAATTTTCACAGGACATCGCTAAAGACGTCAGTTTCAAAATTGTGTTCGGCTTTTTTTTAATTTGGATATTTTAATAATAAAGAGCAATTCACTGAAACAATTCAGAAATATATTACAGTCGTCAAAGAAATCGCCATATCAGCGGAAAGACAAAATAAACGAAAATTTCCGAACACAATTTTTTAGATCAACTACTTTGCTGTTGAAAAATGATATTTTCATGAATATAACTTAAAACCAGCAGGAGCACAACTCAAAAGCGTAATAGTACCGCGATTTAAGATTTTCCTGAATAATTCTTACATTATTTTATTGTTTGTTAATTTTAAAACTTTACCATATTTTGCCTGCCCTGACGAATATTTGGTGAAAATTTGATTAAAATCGGACTGATATTGAGCGCGCAGTAGCGATTTTCCACAAAACGCCAAAAAGGGTGTCCTGTAACCTTAACACTGTGTACCACTTTTGGTATATCTACTGGAAATGGTAGCAAGATTTTTATTACTTGGGTGCTGTTCTTAAAGAGAGAGATGGAATTTCTATTGAATTTTTTAACATTGATCCACATGGAAGGATTGCGGCGCCCCAAAGTGTAAAAAGATATGAAATATTACCACTTAAGAAGAATTATTGATTGCACGGAATTTTATATTGAAAAGCCCTCCCTGCCTTCAAGCCAACGACGCACCTACAGTCAATATAAATAATATAACACAGTTAAATTATTGGTCTGTTTGTCTTCAATATACCACTTTAATTTTGTATCCAAATTGTTCAGTGGTTCCATGAGCGATAAAGAAATTGTACAAAAGAGTGTTTTTTAGTTCAGATAGAACCAGATGATTGCATAATGGTGGATAAAGGTTTTAATATACAAGACTTATTAGTTTTTCGTGGTGCTCGTTTGATAGCTCCACCCTTAATGATGAAGAACAAGGTTTCCTCCCAAGCATCTACAGCAACAAGACGTCGAGTAGCAACTACGCGACTACTACTCAACAACTACTACTCATGTAGAACGGGCGATAAGGAAACTTGAATGTTTTAGTATTTTAGGTGGTGTTATTCCACTGACATTCAAAGCTTATATCACATCAGTTCTTAGAGTTTGTGTGGCCATTGTAAATTTACAACGAAGTTTGATAAGAAAGGAATAGTAATTCATGTTACAATGTTTTATGTCTCATAACATGAAGGGCATGCAATGTCTTCCAATATTTCTCAACATCAACTCTTTCGTGATGGGCTTCCTCTCTGATGTACCAAAAATGTTTCTTCTGTGTGTGAAGGGCAAGATCATTTTCATACAGATCTATTTCCTGTAAAATCCAGAAAGTTGATTTTATAAAGTATATATATAATTATAATTATAATTGTTATTATGATTATAATTTTTCCAGAATTTCTCCAACTTAATACATACTGCTTCCATAAATCATGAATCGTATGGAATTTCTATATTCTTGCTTCCTTTTGTAGTCCAAACAACAAAATCACATGACTTTAGACCTAACACAAACATTTGCATTTGGATCTGGTAGAAATATTTTGCATTTATTTTAAATTAAGTCGGAATGTATTTCCAATTTCACATTTACCGATTTCTTTGGTTAAAAAGGCTTCTTTTGGATCCAGATCTCTGTGAAGCCATTGGGACTTGAACTCAACAATGACGATTTGGCAGTTGTCAGCACATTCACAATTACTTCGAATATCGTCTACGCTTGCTCCCATAAATGAAATCACAAAAATCGTTGAAATCACAAAACCTCTGCTGATCAATTTCACTTTGTGATGCAAGTGTTTTTGAACACGAAGATAAGACTCCCTTGCAGAAGTCTCATGCTTGAGTCCCCAATCTCTTGGATTCTGTGGCTCATTAAGTGGACTCTTTGACAATTTTTCATCATAGTGGCAGGTAGTAATTGACTTAGCTAGTTTAGTAGCAGGTGTATTAGTGCTTTTTTTAAGTGTTGTTTGACTTGTAAAAACGTCTTTGCATTTAGATGCAGAAATAAATCCTACCTTATGTGTGTGCCATTCTTCACATTTCTTCCACTGTGACATGGTCATTTTATCAACCTTCTCTATTTCATGATCTGTACACATAAGTGCTTCTTTAAAATTCTCTGGTGTTATTGCTTTGTTTTTCTTGAGGTATTCATCATGCAACCTTCTCTTTCATGATTCCTTGGTGTTTACTTGATTTCACATATGCGATATTGCGAGGTAAATTATCACTGGCGTGATCTTGTATAGTTTCGCTGGACATGTATAGCTTTTGTAGGAGTGGTAAGATAACAGGAATGCCTGAAGATTTTTCCTTCTGCGACTCTAAAGTGCTCAACGATTTTATGAATGTTAAAATGTTCTTTATTGACTTGGTCTTGCTGTCTTGTGAGTTTCGTAGGTCAAAATCAATATTGTGAAGCCATGTGTATCTTCTCTCTTTTTCTTATTTGAGGGAGGCTTACCTTTCACAATCACCACGTCCTTAATTTCACAAGGCTCACTGTTTCATTGTGATTCCGGCCTCCATTGACAACTTCTACTGGTTACACTCTCTTCACCTCTACTATTTAAAAGAGCTTCAAGAGAATACATTGCAGATGCAATGTGCTTGCACCCCCCATCTCTCCCACCTTTGCATTTACAGTAAGCGTCGATTACACTGCCTTTCTTGGGTCCCCTTCCTTCAACGATAAACCATAAATTGTAAACATCTTTACCGTTGTCCGTTTTCACCCGCATTGTTGGTTGAACTATTCCAACAAGAACATGAACCTCGAACATAACCGTCCTTGTATAATCGATAATCTTCATACGACTAATAAGCAGCAAGGCCTTGCTTGTCGTAGTCGGACGAGTGGTATATTAGGCGATTAAAAATATCGTGAAGACCAAATGGCGGACAGGTAATAAAATCGCTTTCTGCATATCTTCATAGAAAACGGATCTGCAATCTAAATATCATGAATTATTAAACGATTCTGAACATTCTTGTCATTATTATCACGCTGAAAATAAGGGTCAATAGTCAACATCATTTTTTCTACTGCACAAGCGATTTCGACTAAAGCAGGTTTTAGGTATCCATTTACTGTAATTCCACGCTCTTGTAGATCATTTTTTTTTAAACTTGCGATGTTCATAGAACTGGACGTTTTGCTTTTTTTGTCAGCCATATTTACGCACAGTTCATGCACAGGCAAATTGGAATGTCCGCATTTCGTGATTTGTTTACAAATTTAGTCACGCGACAACTGCACCTGTTTTGAGGGTTGAACTCGCGAATTCTTTTATCAATTCCCGAGTATAATTTTCCTGTTGAAAATCAATTTGGGTTTAGAACATCTCACTCATATGGATTAGTGGTCACTCATCTTATTGACAAAATTTTAACTAATATTGATAACAAATAATTAAATGGACTTCTTCTTGTTGATTTTACAAAGGCTTTTGATCTTGTTGATCATGAAATCCTAATTCTGAAACTTAGAATTTTCGGATGTTCTCCATTAGGGACCGGTCATTATTTATGGTGGGGGGTGGCACCGAAGAGAAAAGGGTTGGGTAAACTAAATTTTGAGTAAGTAAAAGGTTGGGTAAATGAAAAACAGAACAACTCAAGGGTTGGGTAATAAAAAAATTATTGTCATTTCCAAAGCATGACTCACTGAAGTATTGGGG